GTAAGACGTGTATGATGCAGGGTTTGGAGGTGGTGGCCACAAGAGGAGGGCCACCTAGATGATGTCCTAAAGCAGCTGAAAGTAGACGAATTATTGAACCATGAATAACTTCCATGTTGCTGCTGGAGCGAATCTTACTTAGTTATATGACGACGCGTAGCTTTATCAGAAATAATACAGCGTCATATAATAGATTTCTTAGTATATTGCATATAAAACAATAATAAAACGAAACCAGTTCCTCACCACCTCACCTCAAAGTCATCTATAAATACTTCGGTTCATCGGCCTGTCAGTTCAGATGGGGCTCGTGTTTGCGTGTGCACATCGGTAGCGTGGCCGAGCGGTCTAAGGCGCTGGATTAAGGCTCCAGTCTCTTCGGGGGCGTGGGTTCGAATCCCACCGCTGCCAAGAATAATTTTTGGGGTGGCTGCTCAGTGAGTGGAAACAAAAACGTTATCCACTGGTGGGAACGTTCGTGGTGCATATTGTGACCCCACCAACCTGCGTGGTCTCACACTCGTGTTTTGTGCAAGAAAAACGTTTTCGGGACAAATAGTATAACAGCACCACCTTGTGGTCCAATGACTCGACTGCATTTCTACACACTAAAATGGGCACACTCCTCTGCACCTAAACTTTTACAGTCCTTCATTTAATGAAGTTATGCTCTATTAGGCGACGTAGGCAAGACTCCGGGTTCTGTCTGGTGTCCAAATCCAATCGAGAATCTGCAGCAAGATCTGAAATCATTATTAGATTTTTCTAAAGCCCTCATCAAACTAAATATAAAAATGGGACAGCAGAATGCTGGAGAAGATGTGGATCAGAAGAGGCACATCATTCCCATATCTTTTGGGACTGCCCTAACTTAAATAATTACTGGCTGGGAATTCATGAGACTCTGTGTGAGGTCTTTAAGATAAAATTTGATATTAAATTTGTAAATTTGTACTTGGGCCTGGTTGCTGGCTCGGTCCGGGGAGGGGACACAAAGCTCTTACAAGAGGTATTAGCAGCCAGCAAAAAATTAATAACCAGGAAGTGTCAAATCCAACTCCACCAACACTTGATTGGTTTAAGGTGGTTTTTGAAATATTTAAAATGGAAAAGTCGACATTCTTTTTAAAAATTCCAAAAGACAAATTCTACAAAATATGGAATAAATGGATTAGCTTTGTGTCCCCCATCCACCCTGAATTTAGGTAAGACCAGCTCTGAATCGGTGTATCTCCCATGTATTGTACAATGTCAGGTTGACCCTCAACTTCATAATTTGTACCTAATGTACTTTATGTAAAAAAGTTAAACATGCTGGATTATGTAAACACTGTCAAGCACCGAGATCACTTTTTGTTACCTGAATGTAAAACAAAAGGACTAAGAAAAAGTCTTTTTTTTCCGACTAAATAATATCAATGCACTTTATTGTAACAAGTCCTTCTTTCAATAAAAATATAATAATAATAATAAAAAAATTAGATTATGCTCTACTGTGTTTATGAAGAAGTCATCAGTCCAGATGCAATATCAAAGATGATTTTATTTACATAAATCTCTTTTTTAAAACGAAAGGCAAAATGAACAGCTTCCACCTTTTAAAAAGCTTTCAGAACAATCAAACTAATAATCAAAGTCCTTCATTACTGAAACAAAAAGCACAGCTTTCCAATCAAATTAGACCCAACACTTCCTCATATGTCATATCCTCTTATCGAGCAAGAATTAAATGGATTCCTTGCAGCTTTTTTTTTTTTTTTTTTAAAACAGCACAGAGCACAAGTTTGTAGTCAAAGCCTTCAAAACGTTTGGGCTGTGGAAGTCTACACATCATAATACTCGTGGAGTTGTGCTTGAAAGCCAGTTTTAATACAGTTTCACATTAAAGATCTCTGTAGTCGCTGAGGGAGCTGACTCAGCTGGGGCTTCGTTTTGGACCAGTAGTTTAAATTTTTTAGATCAGCAGGTATAAACCTCAGGAAAATAAAAACATTTTCTTATTTTAAAAAAAAAATTTTAACAACATGATCGCACACTGCCTTCAGAGGTTGCACGTCTGGATCTTTTCCAGTTTCTTTCTTCCAGCCTTGCAGCCTGTGGCTGCTAACACAGCTTTAGCCTTTAAAAAAGTGCCGTCCTCGTAGCTCGGACACAACAAGGAATCTGTACCAGTGATTAGAAAGAAAATGTGCATTTAGTGAATGATAAAACCACCAGTGTGGGAACAGAAATTCCACCCAACTCTTTTAAATTTTTCCCTTAAGAAATGCAAAACAACTGGCACCTCCTATATTTTTATGACCGTTACTGAACATAGCAATCATTTCACCAAATACATTTTTGGACTCTAGCTCTTCAGATGTGCTTTCCACCACACCTTCACACTCTTATTAACCGCTCCCAGGTCTGAAACAAGCTTTTAGCCAACGTCAATACTGATTTCTTAAAAGAATGATGTAGAAAGTAGCGTCAAGGGGAAACGTGTGCACGTGTTTGTTTCATTAAATGTACAATAACGTACACAAATCTAAGCAAGGTCACACAAGAGACCAGTAGTAAGTAATGACAGAGGTATATCAGTGATTACAGTAGGATGTCACCTTTACAAAAAAAAAAAAAGGAGACACCTCTCAGTTTTCTCTGGTCGGTGCAGAGCTGATGGGGAACTGCTTCGCTCTCCTGCTTCATTCACAAATCCTCGGTTTGCATTTAAGGACAAAAACAAAAGCTGAGCGAGTTCACCACAAACCTGAGCTGTGATCAGTCTGCAAGTCGGAGATTTTAACACACAGGAAACTAATCAAACACATTTAACGTCACCGAGGTGAAAGATGGTAACTTTGATGGGGATCCATCGTCTATTCAAATAAAAACAGCTGAATCAGTCGTGACCGTTTGTGCTCACAGCTTTTCTAAAAACTCAAATCCAGCAGAATGACTAGAGCTCAAAATGTGTTGAAATCGCTCCTCAGTTGTGTCGTTAATGAACACTCCAGCATCTTTCCCTGCAGCACACCACGAGGGAACATGAACCAAATTATTAAGACACCATCTTATCACATTACAAGTCGGCAGGCACACAAACGACCACGCTCACCTTTACACACACGCACACACACACACACACACACACACGACCACGCTCACCTTTACACACACACACACACACACCTTTACACACACGCACACACACGCACACACACACACACACCAGGGCTGCATATTAAGTGCATTTATGTTCAGAGACTCCCACCATAACTTAAATTTCACCAGGCTCCCCACTTAAGCCCCCCGTGCACCTCTGATCCACTCAGCATGGTTTGTACTTTCAGACCTTTTACAGTTTCTCTAGTTTAACCACGAACATTTAACTAGTGCAGAGAGAAAACTCCATTTTCAAACAGACAACTTTCACACTAAGAATCATCAGTGTGGATGAGGTCTCTGAAGCAGCACATCAGATCCAGTAGCCTCATTGCTTTGGACTACTGATCGGTGCTGGTGGTGGATTTGTCCACCAAGGTCAAACCGCCTGTCTATGCAAAGCTCTCCTGTAATGCCGTGAGTCCGTGGCACAAACCACCTTCACTAAAACATCATCATCCACCGCCCACCCTACTAGCCAGATTAGCCTCCCTGTAACCTTTTCCATGACATCAGTCCAACCGTTATCTGAAGGAGGGTTGTGGTAGGAGCCGGCTAAGCAGACATCCTCCTCACCAGAAACACTTTACAATTCTGTTTATAGGTCTGCTGTAACGGGTCCTCGTACCTGGGCGTGTCTGAAAAACCTCTGAAGGGAGGAGTCCAGGAGGCATTCTGACCAGACGCCTGAACCACCTCAGCTGCCTCAGCCTGAGATGAACGAGCAGCGGCTTTACTCTGAGCTTCTTATCTTAAGTGAAGCGCATGCATCTGTATTTAATCTAAGTTGTAACTGCAAAAGGTTTTGAGACCCTGTGCCATAACCTGACATGCACCTCCCTAGAAATGCATCAACGCAGCTCACAATGACAGGGACTGGCTGCTCAGCACTGCCATTTCCTCCTATCTGTGACTGCTTCTGCTGCCAACAGAATACATGAATCACACGTAAGGCTAAGCCCAGCCAGCCTACCCACTACAAATGTAAGAGAGGCACGTGTATTCTTGATCTTCCTGTTTTGGTCATGGCCACAGGGTGAGGGTTGTAGCATCATGGACTGGTAAATCTAAAAGCCTCCAGCTCAGCTCTCCCCTCCCTTCCTCAAAATGAAATTTAAGTCATGGTTTTGACAAACTGGAGGAAAAGCAACAGGCAACCCAGAGTGGTCAGAACAGGAGAGACCAGATCGCAATGAAAAACAAAAAACAGAGACAATCTGAAAGCTTTCTAGAGGTGCACAAAACAAGGATCCCGAAGGAGGAGCTCAGCTAAATTTCAAACCAGATAAGTTTTTAATGCTCATAAGTGACAAAGTCTAAAGAAAGAAAATAATGTGCAGCTTTGTTTCTTTTCTCCATTTAGAACAAAACACTTCTACCACCATCTCCAACAAGGCAGAATCTGCTGCTGCAGATAGTCTCAGATTTATTTTTATTATAAACGTTCTGATTGGCATCAGGGAATAAACGGTGCAAAGTCAGCTGTGCCCACATAGCAAGATTTCTATCAGGATCTCGATACTCCGGAGATACTGTCGAATAAAAAGAGTAGTTGGGAGTTTTTTGGTCTGTCATACACGCTCAACACGCACGCACACACACACACCCACACACACACACACACACACACACACACACACACACACACCCACCGCACACACACACACACACATACACACAAACACACACAACACACACACACACACACACACACACACACACACACACACACAGAACTAGAGCAGCAGTTACTCTTTCCACGAGCCCTTGTAGAGTAAAACTCAAAAACGTAAAGAAACTAACAAGAAAGACATCCCTGACATTTTTCAAGAGCAAATTAAGATGCTTAAGATGTCTTTTATCATTTCATAACTTAAATATAATAAAGATATATCTTTATTTATCTATAGCTCTTCTGTCGTCAGTCCTCTGTGGAGTCTGTGTCATCATTGATATAGTCTTCTTCTATCAGCGCGCTGCCGTTCTGAGTCCCCCACTCGTCTTCGTCATACTCTATACTGTCATTGTCCTCCAGCAGATCGTGGTCCAGCGCCGCCGCTCCTCCTGCGGCCTGCGCGCCAACTGCCACTCCGTTGGCCTGCAGCTCTGCAGCCGGCTGTCCTCGCTGATTATCCCCCGGTGCCGGTGGGCCCGCAGGGGCGGCATCCTGCTGCGGAGCGTAGCCCCCGTTGTTATTGGAAAAGGCGGCTCTATCTCTACTCTCCTCCTCAACGTAAACTCTCTGGTGGCACATGGGGCACGTGTCCTGGATGTAGAGCCACTTCCTCAGGCACAGTGCATGGAAGTAGTGGTGGCAGGGCGTGAGGCGGGCTGAGGTGGCGAACTCCTGATAACAGATGCGCACACGTCCTCGATGTTCCTCAGCTGGTCACCGCGCACCTCCGGCAGGGAGTTGATCTTCTTGACGGCAGTGCGGCGGTTGATGAACGTTTTCCAGCCGTTCTTGGCCTGCAAGTAGATGTTAAAGTAAGCGTGCAGGCACATCATGCAGGCGCGGATCTTGCTGCCCGTCTCGAACATCATGGTGTAGGCGCCATTTCCGAACATGATGACGCCGAACAGGAACTCGATGATGTTGCCCGTGGAGCGCACGTAGTAGACGTAGTCATCCAGCTTCTCCCACAGGACATTGGAGAATCCGTCAGCCATGAAGAGGCCGTAGACGGTCAAAGACACAACCACCTGGAGAGCAGGAAACAGAAACGTGAGTTGAATTTAATCTGCAGAGAGCAAAGCAGACGAGTGAACGGTTTCAGCTCCTGACAGGGAGCGAGCACGCCAACGGGAAGTTTGACAAACTCTCTGTGGTAAATTCTGCTCTGTGTGTGTGTGTGTGTGTGTGTGTGTGTGTGTGTTCATGCTTCACTGCATGCTCCAAGTTAATTTGAGAAAGAACAAAAATATCCTGCATGCTGTTGATCGCCTGAACTCACAATTCATGTTTTAGTTGAAGTTTGTACATCTTTACTTAAATTGTTGTTCCTTAAAGTTTACTCCCTGAATAATGAACATTCACAAACGTAAAAATGCAACAGCCACACATCCTCTGTGACACGGAGCTGAAGCTGACCTCTGGTGACAGCTGGAATGTTTTTGGACCCTAAGCTTGAAGTAAACAGTCTAAAAATGTGTCGCCGCTCTCCTTCAGAACAGTTTCGATTCGACACCCACAAACTCGCCATTCCTCAGCGGGTCCCCAGGCTAATTTTAGTCAAGTGAGCATGCCCAGAATATCTAATGTAGGAGCCTGGTTCCATGTTCTTATAGTTACATTTGTCTCTAAGCAGTAGAAACACTTTATATGCAAACTCACAACACTTAAGAATTTACAAACAGTATCTGTGGTTCCTTGTCCACCTCTCTGAATCAGTTTTACTGTTGTTGCTGACAAAGCCTGGCCCTCACCTCGGCTCTCCCCTCGCCTATCGAGGAGTGAGTTTGGGTTTTTAGAGACGTGCTGCAAAGGAAAAGTGGTGCGTTGGATTTAGCACAAAACACAAAGCGAGAGCATAACTGTGAAAAGGAATCCAGACAAGTAATCATTTAATCCTGATTATTTCTTGTTTTCATAAATGCTGGAAGCCATAAGTGTAATTGAACATAAATACTAATTAACTGTAGGCACAGACTATAAACTCAATAAGCAGAATACTATCAGTCTCCACTCAATCCCACGCTGACAAACAGACAACAGAATCCTTACTGACTCCTTTGTAGGGCTAAATCATGCTCTTATATGCACATCAATCAGGTCATTATTGTTACACATTTGATTATTTAAGTCACAAGTTTGATTACTCTTGATCTCTTGACTAACATAACACACAAAAATCTCAGACTGAAAACGGTGGGAGACGTTGGACGTCATCCATTCCAGTAAAAGATAAATTGTTTGCGCTCACCTTGAGGCAGAGCTCAACACAGAAGGCGGTGACGGCAAAGAGCCAGGTGTTGAGGACGTAGTGATGCCAGAGGGCGTAGCTGAGCACCACGGGGAGTACAAAGAGCGCCAGGGACACCAGCAGGACGGGGAAATGCCGCCGAAAAGAGGAGACATGGGAAGCGCTGAGAGACATGAGGACGGGGTCAGTCATGCCGTGAATGAAGTGCAGGATGGCGGTCAGCAGAAGGCACATGT